GTGTCTCTGCGGTCGAGATTGTGTGTCCCCTAGTCTGAGACCATCAGAAGTAAAATTAAAATGGAGTGGACGACAAGTTTTGCAGCTGCTCAAAAACAATCGTTGCAATCAAAGAACACCGAAGTAGATCTAAAAATTAAGCAACGTGCAGTCAAGACAAAGGAGACAGTAGGCCCTATCACAGCTCTGGTGGTGGCGCTTTCAAAACAACAGATTCAAAACTTTGGGACCCACCACGGTGCTTGATGACCAAGCAGATGGGGGTGTCACGTTTAAGAACCACCTCCCTCCTCCTACCTCAAACTTGAAGGAAATAATTTCTACATAGCCAAATATGTAGAGAAAACATTACGATTTTGTAAAATTGCATGGGTCTAACCTAACGCCTCTATCAACACTATTAGGTTATTTAAGAGGCAAGACCTCCGAGTTTAACGTCCATCTCCGAAAGGGTCGAGCCAAATGGGAATTTTGTGTAAAGCGCCTTTCTCAAGTACACAACGTTGGACCAAGCAGAGGCTCGACCCCCCAACCCGAAACCTCACGATTACGATAGCCTAACCACTAGGCCATCGACACCACTTGAGATTTTGTATATTATATAATTATAAACTGCGGAATTGCTCCCCTTTTCTCCCTGAACCCAACTGAAATTGAAAAACAAAAACAAACCAACAACAACAACAAAACAAAACAAAAAACAAACCCAACGTACAACGCTTCCCCCTCCTCAATAAACTGACAGGCCAGGTAAAACAAAACCAACAACAGCAGCAACAGCAGCAACAGCAGCAACAGCAGCAGCGGCAGCAGCAGCAAAATCGCAGACACAAACGATCTATAGTAACAACAATCATCATAACCTACGCAAACACAAAAATCTATATATACAATCACAATCGTATTTCACCGACAACATGCAATCCAACAAACCACGCACAGGAACAAAAACCTTTTTTTTTTTTTTATAGTATAGCACAAAAAAAGTCAATCATTTCAAAATAATATTGAAAAAAACCAAAACAAAAACAACCAAAACAAAAAGACAGCAGAAAACGACGTATCTCGGACACAAGAGGCACACAGGCAAAGACAAGTCTTATAGTGTTTGTTGTAGTTGTTGTTGTTGCTCGGGCAGTAAAAGAACAAAAGAACTCTATAACAAAAGAACTCTATAACAAAAGAACTCTCTACCGACTATAATATATATATATATATATCTACGGCAAGACACGACAACACACAAGGCATTCACCTACCGGTCTTCGCATCACCGTCGTTAGAGGGGATCACTAAGAAAAAAAAAAATGAAAACAAAAGTGTAAAAATAAACAAAAATGCAAACGTTGTAACTAAACATAGAGATGTTTAACAAACCAAGGGCTTCAACTCAGGAGAAATGACAACCGTTCTCTCATATGCTAGGGAAATGAAAAAAAAAAAAAAAAAAAAAAAATACTTGAGCAGAGGAAAACCCCCATTAGTTCACCAAGCAGAGGAGGAGGGAAAAAAATGTGAGTTGGGAGGGAGGGATTTTTCCCAGAATAATTTGTGCTGGTTAGAAAAAAAAAGGAAAAAGAAAAGAAAAACCATAATATTGTTTACCTGTGACGTCCTAGCGCATTCTCAAGCAAAATGTATTAGTGCAGTTGTTTTCTTTTTTTGTGTAGAGGTTTTACGGCGCTCGCAGCAACTGCATAAGGTCCTATGAGCGCCAAGGGGTGGATGTCAACAGAGAAGTCTTTACAGGGACTCAGACTTACTCTGCTCACCTCCTTAGCTTCAACAGCACAAAGTCTGCTTCGACTGGTAGACTTCTGAATTTATCAGGCGATGAGCCGGTCAACAACAGAAGAACCAAGCATCTTGTCGTACCTAGTTGCCAAAATATAAATTGTATTTCCAAGAAACTTCTCCGGTCGCTCTTTCCATCAGTTTCGCCGATGAATGCTACACTTTTGTGCTACGACTTCTGACCAACTTTTGAAAAGGACCGTTTGAGTCTTTCCACAAAATTATCAAAATACGTTCGAACTATTAAAAAAAACCCCTTCTTCTACCTATGTTAACAGCCATCCAATTCAAACTAGACTGTCTGTTTGAGAAAATCCCTTTTCTTCGGACTCCGCGGTAGCGAGCTACCGTTGCATATTCTGCTATACCCAATCCAGTCCATGTCTAAATGTTCTTGAACCTGAAGCCCCCGTATATTGCTGAATACAGATGGACTGTGTTTCTTAAGCCTTAGATGCTCCAATTTTCAAAACTTTCATAATAAAACTTGGTGGTGGCTGAATCTCTCTCCCCCCCCTCACCTTCACCCCTTTCTGAGCTGTTAATCACAACTAGTAAGCATCGCTTTTTTTTTCTTCATGACAAAATCAAATTATGCACACTGTGAAGGTGGGTGGTTGGCGGGTGCTCTGGTGTGGCTTGCTCCTTCTTTCCTATCAAACGTCTATCGTACTTATCTCTCCTTCTTTTTTATGTTTGTTACTCTCTTGTAACACCTCTAATCTTCGGCACCTATATGACCTTATTGTGTTGCAAGTGCCGTAAAACAGTTACCAAAAACAAGACTGCGAAGAATATTCCCAGCGTGTGACAAACAAAAAAGTGCTTCCATACACGCTGGATGGGGACAAGACCATTTGAAATTAGACTCACCATTTTTTTTTCGCCTCAGTACCTCGCTAAGTATGAAAACATCGGGCTTGAGAATGCGCATTAGATAGACATCAAATAAGTGAACAATAAAGGATGGTTGATAGAGAACACCTCTTTTTGGTTCTCCGTCCAAACTCGGATTAACAATTTCTTTTTTTGGAGAGGGGGGGGGGGGTTAAGTAAAGAAACAACAAACTCCCCGTTACTTTCTACGCTAACTCTGTTCAGTTCTAGGAGAAAATGCAAAGGAATGATGCAGATGCATACACATAATAACTGCACTAGGAGAAAAAAAGTGCATGAGTTCTGCATGCAATGTCGACCAAGTGGAGAGAAACAAGGGCAGCGGGCTCATTCATAACGTCACAAAGCAAATTATACACGGCAGACGCTTCCGGCGTTCACGTCTGCGCGTCATCAGAAGGAGCGGACAAAAATGCACACAAAAGACAGCACACACACACACACACACACACACACACACACACACACACACATACACACACTGCCGCGACCAGCAGGAGGCTGCAGACTGCACAGGCGGGGGAGAGAGAGAGGAAAGAGAGAAGAAGAAGAAGAAACATGCTGAGGCTACGGGGCTCCATCCACATGCAACTAGAGACATCCAGTCTGATCATTTCATTTGTTCACCCTCTTAATACATTAATCATCTTCACTTTCGAAAAAAAAGAGGAATAGACATTCTAACTACTCTAATCTAGTTCTAACCCTTGCATATAATTTATCGCCCCCTCCCCCTTACCCCCAAACCCTCCTTAGATAACGTAAATGTGTATTTTTCCCAACCACAGACCCTCTCCACAAGCAAGTATCAGCACTACCGCGCTTACACTTCTTTCTATATCTTCACTACCGCGCTTACACTTCTTTCTATATCTTCACTACCGCGCTTACACTTCTTTCTATCTTCTGTTTCTCCCAGTCTGTAAATCTGTTGCCATCTACTTTTTTTTACAAACCACACCAGCAACAATATTTACAGAAAAAAACAACCCTTAACAACCCAAGAACTGATACATTCAGCCCGAATTCCCCTCTGCTAACCAACCTTGAGAAACATTTGAATCAATACATAGCTTGACCAGAAATTGCCAGTCGCCTACCAAGGCTTTGCGATCTGTTAAGACCTTCTACCAAAAGAGGAAGGAACGACGAAAAAAAAAAAAAAAAAAAAAGAAGAAGAAGACGTAGCAGAAAGGTTTCCGGGCTACGCTAACCAGAGAGATAATAATATGGTCACATCAATCAACGACATCTCTAGCGGTTTAAGCCAGTCCTCTGACCATTCTCTGAATTCTCATCCTGTGCTTTGTACTAATTTATAGTGTCCACTATCGCTCCCTCTGAGCAGAAAGCACGGCCAAGTGAGACAAGACAGACACACACCCGGGAGCTGCACAGTGAAAGAACACACACACACACGCACACACACACACACACACACACACACACACACACACACACACACACACACACACACACACACACACAGTGGTCAGACCTGCGAGGAGAGCAGACATACCACGTCTTAACCTAACCAATAGACGATAATGAGTGAGGAAGCCAGGACAATGCAAGTGTGCTCTAGAAATAGAATAAGGGGTGGGGGTGGGGGGGAGAGACAAAAACCCAACGCGAACATAAACAGACAACATCTGCATCATTACAATGCGAGGGCAAAGAACCTGACAGTGTCATTTCCATAAAACCCAAAAGAGTCACAGAAAACCAAAAACCTTCTGTGGCGAGGAGAGATTGGTGGCTACGCAGAACTTTCCCAACCCCTTTGCCGAGGTCTCCAAAACAAAACATAAATAAGACAGGGCAAAAAAAAAAAAAAAATTATATATATAATAACAATCCACAACCCCCACAACAATTTCACCAAAAAGATGGTAAAATGTTACAAACAAAAAACAAAACAAAAAAAAAAGTAAATGAGAATGAACAAAGAATGAACGCCAAGAGAGATACATGTGAGTGGAATAAACACAAGCGGCCACCCTGGTGACATGTTAGTGTGGCAGGGAACAACAAAATCTAAAAATGAGAAACACAAAAATTCAGTATCAGACAAAATGCATGAACGCTTTTGCCGAATGCGCGATGAAAGACTTTCACAAGAAGAATGCAACCAATTTAAGCAGAAATGATCTCCTGCTTTCAGCTAACTACAACAACAGTCAATCCAAGTGTAATAATAATTATTATTATGATATAATCATGAAGGACTGTAATGATGAGGGACATCACTGCTCAAAACGACAATAATAAATTAAGAATCAATGGCATGTGTAAATATCGTTTAGTTACGATGTAGTAGAATGAAGAACACGTGATGAAATCATTTATTCCGAGAATATGTTATGAGAGCACTGTCACATGCATTTCATTCGTTATCTCTACCCTTAACTGGAGGACACACGTACAGCAGAGTACACACACAATTTTATATACATTTTTATATAAATATAAACATATATAAATATATATTTATTTTTTTTAAAACACGATTCATAACATCTAAAATACAAATAGAGAAGTAAATGCAACTAGAGACATCCAGTCTGATCATTTCATTTGTTCACCCTCTTAATACATTAATCATCTTCACTTTCGAAAAAAAAGAGGAATAGACATTCTAACTACTCTAATCTAGTTCTAACCCTTGCATATAATTTATCGCCCCCTCCCCCTTACCCCCAAACCCTCCTTAGATAACGTAAATGTGTATTTTTCCCAACCACAGACCCTCTCCACAAGCAAGTATCAGCACTACCGCGCTTACACTTCTTTCTATATCTTCACTACCGCGCT